GTGTTGGAAGGGAAAAAAGTGTGTAGGATGGTAGCAACGAAATGTAACTTTAATTAAAGGCTACTGATTAATGAGGCACTAATGTGACGCCAATGCTTAGCTTAATTGTATACATAACCAAATAAATTATATATATACTGTCTTGGTAGTTTCGTTATCATTGGTATCGTTATTTGCTTCTGCTCATATGTTGTACTTGTTGCTATAATTATTTTTTTTCTTTCTTGTTCTCTGTTGAGAAGCTCTTCTGTCGAAACATTACATCAAAATGGGAAGGAGTAAAAGCTGATTGGTCAACTGTTGATAAAACGCCTGCAAACATCAGGACTGTCTATTGTAATCTGTTTGGGTTGTCTTTCTTTTCTAGTAAATTGACTGTTTTGAAAGGAAAAAGTAATAAATGTCGCGGAAGAAATGGAACTAAAAAAAAAACTATTGTTTTAATAACAAGATTGTTTCTCCGACTTACTCCTTTCTTTATTTTACGTTAATGTCTTCTTTTTGCAGTTGAGTACGTACACTAACAGAACAAACAAGCGATTTCAGATTGATGCTTAAAACATTGTACTTGGTAAATGTTTTTCGTTGTTCTTCTTTTCGCTAAACCTTGTTAAATTGGCTAAAGCAGTGAAAAAAGAAGAAAAGAAAGGAGTTGGATGAAGAGGAGAAAGCAAACAAAGAAAAGAGGAAAAAAAAAAAGGGAGAAGTTATAAAGAAAACAAAAACCCAAGAATTACTTATTACTTTCCAGTCTGTTTTCACTAAAACGTATCATAAGCACTTTAACCTTTCGACCAGTAAACATACAACGTCTTTTAACAAAGTATAATCAGGGAGTTTCAGCAGGAACCTAAATGTAAATCTGCAAGAGGTGCAAAAAGGCTCTAATAAGAGCTAAAGAAAAATAAAGAGAAAGAAGAAGAAAGCAAATGCAAGGAAGAACATGAGAAACTTGAGAATTTAATGCTTCCGTTGTTTTTGCTTCTTCTCCAGTTATTTGAAGAAGCGTATAATTAAAAGTTTTTGAAAAAGCATAATGGATTTCTTTTTGCTTTTTGAAAAAAAAAGGGTAATGTGTGTATTTGTGCACATTTTTGTTGTTTGACATCCTTTTCAAACAAAACTTTGATTTGACGCAAAAAAAAAGCTTTATTGTTTTTAACAACGTCTTCCGCTTATTTTTTTATTTTTAGTTTTTTTTTTTGTTTTGATGAGTACGTTGTACATGAATCTTTAAGACCAAATTATGCTTTTCCAGTAATTGTCTTGCTTCTCTGAAAACACGAGAGCACTTCCAATTGGTAAAACAATAAAAGCAACAATAACAACAAACGAATTATCATCTGATTCCGAAAAATCTCAAAATTAATTTATTATTATTGTCTTATTATTATTATTATTATTATTATTATTATTATTATTATATTATTATTATTATTATTATTATTATTATTATTATTATATTATTATTATTATTATTATTATTATTATTATTATTATTGTTATTATTATTATTATTATTATTATTATTATTATTACTACTGTTATTATTATTATATTATTATTATTTATTTATTTATTTATTTACTTTATTTATTTTCATTATCTACCATTTACTACTTACTATTTATTACCTATTATTTGTTGTTATTTTAATGATTGGTGATGTCGTTGTTGTCGCCAATGCTTTCGGCTACTTTGCTGATAAATCCCAAAAGTTCATTCTTTGTTTTCATTAGTTTGTTTTTTTAAGATAGATGATAATTATTTTTGCTGTTAATGCAGTTTTTGCTGCTACGGTTGATTTTGGTATAGACACAGTCGTAAACTTATTGTAAAGCAATACAACTATACGGTACTTTATGTTCCCGAAGATGTGCGGCTAAGAAACGAAGAAAAGAGACGTAAAAAGTTAAGGAAGTGCAAGGGGATGGTGGAGATGCAAACAGTTGTAAAATTCAAGAAATATTTTTCAATTTTTTTGCTTACATAAAAAAAAAAAGTGAAAGATGATTAATAAATAAAGGCTGAATACGTTTCAATAAATAATTGATCATTGTTCAATAGGTGAAGAGATTTTAACATTTCTTCGTTTGTTTGTTTATTCCTATGTACTTTTTTCAATACCTTTACTTAACCTGTTCCTGTGCGCTTGTGGAAACGATGAGAAAAAAATCTACCTACCTTCACGGCGAGCGGTGTTGTCGAAGAAAAAAAGTTTATTTATAAAAATTCGCAGTTGAGTTCCACCGGTTTTCATAGGTCTCTCACGCATTCCGCACCGGTTCACTAGTGGCACTCGACCTCTTCCGTACAGCTTCGACTTCATTTCCTTGCACCTTGTCATTGCATACCACTGTTTTTGTTCTTTTCAGTTTCTGTATTTCTGATTCAAGGTAACAAATTTAATAAATTTAATATGCGTGTAGGGTTTTATTTTCAAAACGCATTTAAAGTGAAAACCTTGTTTATTTTTCATTTTAAATTTTTAAGTTGTAACATTCTAACTGCTACGTTTAATTTAGTGCTACTTTTCTCTTTTGATCTTACAGGATACGCTGACACTGCTGTAGGCAACAGACTAAAGATCAAAGTGAAAAAAAAAAAGTAAATTTTTTGGTTCTACGTAGAGACAGTATGTTAACTGAGATTCTTGCTGGTCTTGGGTTTGTTGACTGAACTATTAACAAACGATGCTTTTAAAGGCTTTGTTTTTTTTCTTTTATTTTTCTTAAACATTTTTGGTGCTAATTCTACTTATCTGCTCTCTGAGAAAAACATGAGATTCATTTATAAGTGTTAGTAAGGGCACGCGAAGGTAGCATTGAATAAGGCTATAATTTTTTGGAGGTTTTCAACCTGTTTAAAACATCAGTTTTTTTACCCAGAGTGTGATTGACCCAAAAACAGTTGCAAAAAAAAGAAAAATCGTTGTTTAAAGTAAGTTTTTGGTGGTGTGTTTGACACGTTCTTTCTCTGCATTACTTGTCTCTTCGTCTTGTATTCAGTTTGAAACCGTCCTATCTGCAACCGTTTTATTAGCCCAAATGTTTCAGCGTTACGGTAAAAAGTGTGGAAGTGGAAAGAATTGCTAGGAACAAATCCAAAAAAAAAAAGAAAAAGAACAGAAGATATCTGTTTACTAAAATGATCTAGAGGAAAATGAATATTTTGTAGAAATTGGTCTGTTACTCAACGCTTTTGTTCTTTTCTGATCATGCTTATTCTGGTTTTATGGTTTAATCATTATTTTGTCTTTTTACTTGTTTATCGCCTTGAATTACTGTGTTTAATGATGACGACGTGAAGTTACTGTGACGTGTTGGAGGTTCTTGAGGATTATTGAGAGATGTTTTATCAAAGGATGAGGAAGCAAGGATGAAGTGGGGTCAACAAGTGGAGTAGGGAGGGGGAAGAAGCGGAAAAAATTACCGTGTTGTAAAACTAATTTTTTTCTTTTGGTGCTTGATGCCAAAAGTCTTCTAATTTCCACGATTATCAAACTTCGTTTCTTTCCTTACCAATTATGAATAATGTCATGTTGATTGTAAAAGGTGAGGTTTTAAAAGGATGAAATCTTCAAGTTTGTATCACGTGCCTGGATGTATTTATTGGTCAGTATGTGTTATACTGTTGAATAAAACTTAGTTTTTTTTAGAAGGAGCAAAAAATTCGTCGTTTTTGCTGCCGAGAACCGGCTTGTTCACAAGCTGACAGGGTGGTGCAAAGATAATTGGATTTTTTTGTTTGGACAGGTAAATTCGGACAGAAGATGCAATTACTGCTAAAAATTTCAGCCGCTACATTGGGTGAGTGCAATTCAATTTTCCTGTGTTGTATCATTTTATTGTATTATGTTTGCCGGCTAGAACTTTCAGTGGGAAAAAAAAGGAAAACTTTTTTGGTTTTTTGTTTAAGAAACTTTATTTATTAATTTCTGCCTTTCTTTTGCATTCTTCATCTTTTTTTCCTTCGCTTTTACCATGGCTTTTGTTGTAACTGACAATGGCTTCCAATTATTTTGTCTAATGATAGTAATTACGTGAGGTGGAGAGGGGGATGGGAGGAGGATGAAAAGCAGAAAAGTAGGGAGGATGGGAGAAGTGAATAAAACTGCGTTTTGCTGCTGACTTACTTGATTCAATGAAAACAATAACCGATCATTGCCGGTTTTTTGCAGACATCTTTGCGGTGCCAGAACCGAACAAGAAACTTTTTTTAGTGATCTTGAGCCAAATATTGGTGACTAATTAGGTATGATTGATCAAAGACAATTAAGTGATGATAAAACTGTAGTGTGCTGGTCAACAACATCAGGACAGTGTAAATGAGTTGAAATTGTTGGTCACATTTACAACAAGAAATGTTTGTTTGACTAAACTGAAATTGTAAAATTTTACTATCTTCAGTATTTTCTTCTATTGTTTTTTTCGTTTTTACTTCATTTTTCTGTTTTTTTTTCTTGTTTTTAATCTTTTCTAGCATTGGTTATCACTGAATACTAAGTTACTTAATCATTTTTGACAGGCCTACTTTAACATAAAGTAAAATGAAATTCTGCTAATGTCCTGGGGATTCTTAGCGAATTAGTAACATAAAAAATTCTAATAATTCAAAAGCAGTCTGCATTGAGCAAAACTTTTTCTACATTTTCTTTAATCAATGCTGTAAAAGGAAACGGAGCACTCTGTTAACACTTAAAATCCATTAGGAAAATGGTGGAGAAGAATTATTATGGGCAGAAAAGAGAAAAAAAGCAAAGAGAAGAAGAGGGCTTAAAATTTCCACAGAATGATAATCAAGTGAAAAAGCAACAGCAATGTGAACCAAAAGGAAAATGTAATAAATGGATGACATACATAACAATGACGGAAATGACAATAACAATAACAATTACTGAACAATATGAAGATTAATTTTGTAATGTTTATCACTTAGGTAAATCTGTCAGTCGATTTTTGTACTCTTCAATTTGCTGGTTACAGTCATATTAGTTTTTCATGGTCTTTGTACAGCTATTGAAAGACTATAAAGAACATCTTTTTATGACTGACGAATCTATTCAGAAAAGAGACTCGACTGGGCAAACAGCGGTTGTTGTTGGGAGTGATGACGACTTGAGTAACTATAAATTTGTGTCATGTTTGATTGCAGATTCTTTCATAGTCTCGTTTACAGGTTACCTAATACTAGCCTGAAAATTATCTTATTTTTACTGTAATTGTTGGTAAATTAAATGCTGAAAATAAGTTGTGTCTTTACATTGGTTCGGCATTATTTGGAAGCATTTTTTTTGTCATTTATGACACAGTAAAACAGCATCTATGCTTAATTCTTTTGTCCATTCTTTGCTTTTGTTTTGTTCTACAAGTTGGAAAGTTTACAGTTTGTACAAAATAGAGTATGCAGTTAAAAAACGGAAAAAATGTGTGCAAAAAAATTGTTTTAGTGTTTTTTACACTCATAAAGATAATTAATCTTTTGCAAAGAAAAAAGTTAAAAAAAAAATTTTTTTTTTGCAGTTGAATCAAAAAAATAAAATAAAATAAGACGAAGGAGGAAGACGATAGAAAAAAAAGTTTACTTATCGTACCCATTTAATTATTGCTACAAATCTTTTTCACTGCATTTTCTCCTGCTGCT